TGGGGAAGCCATGTAGGAGAGGGTGCAGGATCTGGGAAGGAGTTGTGACCTGGAGAAGGTGAGAAGAGGGGGTGCAGAGGGTTTGAGTGGTGACCTAAGGAAGGTAGGGGTGGTGGCCTGGGGCAGGTAGTTGGGGGGGGGAGAGGGGGTGAGGTGCCAAAGGCAGGCTTAGGCCAAGAGGTGCTTACCTAGGTGGCTCCCAGCCAGCAGCCTTGCAGAAACCTGAGGTGAGCTCTGTATCTGTCTGCTGCAGTCCTAGGTTAGTCAGAACTGTTGGCTGTTCCATGTGGCTCTGTGCCATAAATCAGGGAGGGGGGGAGGGGAGGCTTTAATGTGCTGCCCCTATCACCAGCAAAATTTCTCAGCTTTTATTGGTTGGAAAATGGCCAATGGGATCTGAGAGATTTTGCTGGGCCACGGGGGCAGCATGCAAAGCTTCCCCCCTCCCTTCCTACAATCCAGAGCAGGGAGCAGACAGCCATTTACAGCGGTGTGAGTTGCTATAGGCCTAATGGTCCTTGTGAGGTGGCCGTGGACTAGATCTGATGGTGTGGTGAGCCAGATCCGGCCCGCAGGCTGCATTTTACTCACCCCAATGTAGTAGGTAGCAAATCGGGTTTTGAGGTCATCAGAGAGGGGTAAGGTAGGAGCATTTAATATGAAATTAGTGTGTGTTGCAATGTCTACATTAGTGATCTTAGAATGGCACAGTTGAACCAATGCAACTATGCTGCTATTTGCTTGTATAGTCTCTGTATGGCAGTGGGAGAGAGCTTGCCCACCCACATAGCTTTTACTGTTTGTGGAGGTTGGTGGGAGAAACAATCCTGCTGACATTGTTCACAATGGTGCTTCTGTCAATATACGTTATGGCACACCGGGGTGTGTGTTTTTTCGCACCCTTGAGCAACATAAGCTATCCTGATCCATTTTGCACTGTAGACGTGGCCTTTGAGAACACTGGAGTGTACTCAAAACATGTTGTATCCTTTCAAAATAGGAGTGCAAAATGATTTCTTAGTCTCTGATTTGAAAATAAATAACTTTGTGCAGGTAGACCCATTCACTATTGCAAAGTCCCATTGAATTTCCTGAGTCCTCCCAGGCGTAACCTCTGAAAGAACTGAGGCCTTGTCTTTGCCTTTAGATTTTCTGGTGGTGTCTGTCTGTCATTGTTTTCTTGTCATAACTGTGACGAGTTAGAGATTAGTTTCAGCAGTAGCTGGGATGTCATTGAGAAACAAAGCTCCTAGATACTTAATGACATTTGTGCTCCAATTGAAAGGGTATAGAGCTACGGACAACCAGAGATGAAAAAATAGTCAGGACAATCCTGCCTAGTCCTTCTTGTAAATGACAAGATACCTAGTATTCTGGCTAAGTGGATGTGTACGAGCACCTATTCATTTTGGATCTTTCATGAAATTATAGCAGTTTTGTTCCAGACTATTTTTCACTTCTGTGTCACCTTCAATTAAAAAAACATAACAAATTTATAAATCTTAGACCCCTGAAGTAAATATAATCCCAATTTTACAGGCAGATAAACCGAGACATAATTGGCTAAAAGGTTACATTGGGAAGAGAACAGAAAATAATATACATCTTTTTTCAAAATTTAAATAATTAAAATTATGTTGAGGTATTCCTAAGGCAGTTTCAACTTACCAGTGGGTAGAAATAAAGCTAATATTCAGGGAGTCCAAATTTAGAGCCTGGGCTTCCATTCATCCTGGCTCACTGCTAATTGGACCTCCTTTCCCCATGCATTAGAAACAGCTATACTGTTCAGAGTATGTGACCAAGTAGTATGATGGCCCTCTTCAATTTTAACAGTTTTATGTCAGCTCTTGACAGTATTTGAATGAGTTTGTGTATAAACTTGCCTGCACCCTGGATATCCAGAGAGTCTTCTCTCTTAGAAACACAACCCCTTAACCTCAGGGTAGAGTGAAATGTAGGTCTTCTCATGTAATAACAGTTTGTGCTATCATCTGAATAATTGGACTGGCCAGATGTGTGTGCTTTTTAAAATGGGATTTATTTTGACTTAAAGCCAAAATCAGTTGGCTTCACATGAAAGAACAATTTTCTGTTCAGAGATGTATGAGAACAAAATTGTCAAGTAACCACGGTACAGCTTCTCAAAAAGCAGATTGTGTAATGGTTGTAAAGATTATCACACATATTCTCCATATTAAATGACCCTATTATCTAAATGGCTTTCTTGTCCTGTATATGCAGAACTTTATTCATTGTGATAATAGAATACTGTATTTTTGAAAATAATATATTATTTTGCTTTTATTTTTCCAGTTTTGGCTATAAGTGTAGCTGCTGAAGATGCAAAGGAACAGATTGAGCTACTGGTATCACAGGTAATAAATTCTAATTCTGTCATAGCCATAGTGTGCCACTTAGATTATAAAATCTTTGGGGCCTGAGACTGGGGGTAAAATTCTGACCTCTTTGAACTCAGTGAGAACTTTGTCATTGACTTCTTTGGGACCAAGACCTAATGCTCTCTTTATTTTGTCTGAGGCACCTATAACATCTTTAGTAATACCACTTTTCTAGAGCCTCTATCTTACAGCTTTTCCACCCAAGTGTTCTTAGAATGACCGCAGCTGGTCCCATGTTGATTTTATTCATTTCAGTTCTTTCTTAAACTGAATCTAATATATTTTGATGTTTGTATTTTACATGTTTATTTTTGTTAACACATTCATTTTTCCAACAGAAATCTTGTAAAACTTATTTTGCAACTTAGATATAAACTTAGTGGAGAGGGGGTGAGGTGCCAAAGGCAGGCTTAGGCCAAGAGGTGCTTACCTAGGTGGCTCCCAGCCAGCAGCCTTGCAGAAACCTGAGGTGAGCTCTGTATCTGTCTGCTGCAGTCCTAGGTTAGTCAGAACTGTTGGCTGTTCCATGTGGCTCTGTGCCATAAATCAGGGAGGGGGGGAGGGGAGGCTTTAATGTGCTGCCCCTATCACCAGCAAAATTTCTCAGCTTTTATTGGTTGGAAAATGGCCAATGGGATCTGAGAGATTTTGCTGGGCCACGGGGGCAGCATGCAAAGCTTCCCCCCTCCCTTCCTACAATCCAGAGCAGGGAGCAGACAGCCATTTACAGCGGTGTGAGTTGCTATAGGCCTAATGGTCCTTGTGAGGTGGCCGTGGACTAGATCTGATGGTGTGGTGAGCCAGATCCGGCCCGCAGGCTGCATTTTACTCACCCCAATGTAGTAGGTAGCAAATCGGGTTTTGAGGTCATCAGAGAGGGGTAAGGTAGGAGCATTTAATATGAAATTAGTGTGTGTTGCAATGTCTACATTAGTGATCTTAGAATGGCACAGTTGAACCAATGCAACTATGCTGCTATTTGCTTGTATAGTCTCTGTATGGCAGTGGGAGAGAGCTTGCCCACCCACATAGCTTTTACTGTTTGTGGAGGTTGGTGGGAGAAACAATCCTGCTGACATTGTTCACAATGGTGCTTCTGTCAATATACGTTATGGCACACCGGGGTGTGTGTTTTTTCGCACCCTTGAGCAACATAAGCTATCCTGATCCATTTTGCACTGTAGACGTGGCCTTTGAGAACACTGGAGTGTACTCAAAACATGTTGTATCCTTTCAAAATAGGAGTGCAAAATGATTTCTTAGTCTCTGATTTGAAAATAAATAACTTTGTGCAGGTAGACCCATTCACTATTGCAAAGTCCCATTGAATTTCCTGAGTCCTCCCAGGCGTAACCTCTGAAAGAACTGAGGCCTTGTCTTTGCCTTTAGATTTTCTGGTGGTGTCTGTCTGTCATTGTTTTCTTGTCATAACTGTGACGAGTTAGAGATTAGTTTCAGCAGTAGCTGGGATGTCATTGAGAAACAAAGCTCCTAGATACTTAATGACATTTGTGCTCCAATTGAAAGGGTATAGAGCTACGGACAACCAGAGATGAAAAAATAGTCAGGACAATCCTGCCTAGTCCTTCTTGTAAATGACAAGATACCTAGTATTCTGGCTAAGTGGATGTGTACGAGCACCTATTCATTTTGGATCTTTCATGAAATTATAGCAGTTTTGTTCCAGACTATTTTTCACTTCTGTGTCACCTTCAATTAAAAAAACATAACAAATTTATAAATCTTAGACCCCTGAAGTAAATATAATCCCAATTTTACAGGCAGATAAACCGAGACATAATTGGCTAAAAGGTTACATTGGGAAGAGAACAGAAAATAATATACATCTTTTTTCAAAATTTAAATAATTAAAATTATGTTGAGGTATTCCTAAGGCAGTTTCAACTTACCAGTGGGTAGAAATAAAGCTAATATTCAGGGAGTCCAAATTTAGAGCCTGGGCTTCCATTCATCCTGGCTCACTGCTAATTGGACCTCCTTTCCCCATGCATTAGAAACAGCTATACTGTTCAGAGTATGTGACCAAGTAGTATGATGGCCCTCTTCAATTTTAACAGTTTTATGTCAGCTCTTGACAGTATTTGAATGAGTTTGTGTATAAACTTGCCTGCACCCTGGATATCCAGAGAGTCTTCTCTCTTAGAAACACAACCCCTTAACCTCAGGGTAGAGTGAAATGTAGGTCTTCTCATGTAATAACAGTTTGTGCTATCATCTGAATAATTGGACTGGCCAGATGTGTGTGCTTTTTAAAATGGGATTTATTTTGACTTAAAGCCAAAATCAGTTGGCTTCACATGAAAGAACAATTTTCTGTTCAGAGATGTATGAGAACAAAATTGTCAAGTAACCACGGTACAGCTTCTCAAAAAGCAGATTGTGTAATGGTTGTAAAGATTATCACACATATTCTCCATATTAAATGACCCTATTATCTAAATGGCTTTCTTGTCCTGTATATGCAGAACTTTATTCATTGTGATAATAGAATACTGTATTTTTGAAAATAATATATTATTTTGCTTTTATTTTTCCAGTTTTGGCTATAAGTGTAGCTGCTGAAGATGCAAAGGAACAGATTGAGCTACTGGTATCACAGGTAATAAATTCTAATTCTGTCATAGCCATAGTGTGCCACTTAGATTATAAAATCTTTGGGGCCTGAGACTGGGGGTAAAATTCTGACCTCTTTGAACTCAGTGAGAACTTTGTCATTGACTTCTTTGGGACCAAGACCTAATGCTCTCTTTATTTTGTCTGAGGCACCTATAACATCTTTAGTAATACCACTTTTCTAGAGCCTCTATCTTACAGCTTTTCCACCCAAGTGTTCTTAGAATGACCGCAGCTGGTCCCATGTTGATTTTATTCATTTCAGTTCTTTCTTAAACTGAATCTAATATATTTTGATGTTTGTATTTTACATGTTTATTTTTGTTAACACATTCATTTTTCCAACAGAAATCTTGTAAAACTTATTTTGCAACTTAGATATAAACTTAGTACAGGTTGAAGCTTTCTATTTGGGAATTGTCTGGTTTGGCACCATCTGTCCACTCCAGCCATAGTCTGCTTCAGCTTCGGCTCTCACTTCATACCCCGGGGACTGCGTCACCAGGGAGGAGCTGCTGGAACTGGGTCCCCTCTGCCATCCAAGCCTCCCCCCAGGGCTGCTCCGGGTCCCCTCCGCCATCTGAGCCCAACATCCCACAGCCCCAGGCCACATCAGGTCCCCTCCTCCATCTGAGTCCGACGCCTCCCCAGGCCACACTGTGTCCCCTTCGCCGTCCAAGCACACCCCTCACCCTTACCCCCTGGGCCACGCCTGGTCTCCCGCGGTATCCGAGTCCAACCCTCTAGCCCCCTTCTCCCCTTTTGCTGCAACTCGACACCCCCAGCCCGCTCTTGCCTCCTGGCCAGACATCTACCTCCAGACCACTCCTGCCCTCTTCTCCCTAGGCATATACCTACTCCCAGAGAGAGGGAGTTGGCGACCGTAACGAGAAGGGGGTGCAGCCCCCTAGTGTGTTTATAAATCTTAATGTTTGTTGCATATAAAATTGTTTCTCCAGCATTAATCTTAATACATTCAGATTTCTGTACCTTAAACTTTTGATGTACTGATATCTGCATTCTGGTATGAGAGATATTGAAGACCTGCTTTCATTACCATCATTGCTTTTTTGTTTGGTTATTTCCGATGTAGCTTCTCAGTCAAACATAGAACTAAAAGAAACAATGGAAATCTTGCTTCAGTCGACTTCCAAGTTTTTCTCTTTACTTGTCATGCTCATTATGAAGTCCTTCCCATTAAGTCAGAATTCCAAAACTTCACTCAAATTAATTTATTTGCAAAATTATTAATTTATTGCTCTCTTGAGAATTCTGTAGACTGTAATCCAGTCTATAGAACAGAAATGCCACAGGTGAGATCTATGCCAAGCTTCACCATATAGCTCTATATGCTCATCTGTAAAAATTTGAATAACTGGGCAATTTTGAAGGGTATTCTTATACTTAGAATGACCTACTGTTCTATCCATTTATAATAAGCAACCACTATCTGGGTTTAACCCCTGGAAAGCAAAAATTCCTCAACCGGCTTTTCTTCTAACATTGTGGATGAGTGCTAACTCAAGGTCGCAGAAGGGGCCACAAATAACAATATTGTTCCCATTATGGAGGACACCTGAGGGTATGGTTACATTATGTCTGGGAGAGCTAGTTCACAGTGTAGGTAAATAGACTTGGGCTAGCTCACTTCAAGTTAGCATGCTAAAAATAACAATGCAGATGTCATATGGGCAGAGGTTCAGGCTAGCTGCCCAGACTCAGACTCAGGAAGTCAGATGGGCTTGGGCTTGGGTGGCTAGTGTGAGCTACTGCCTGTGCTGCAATATCCACACTGCTATATTGAGGGTGCTAGTTTAAAGTGAGCAAGCTAGCGTGAGTTTGTGTACCTGGACTGGAAATCACCCCTCACAGCTATTGTATAGATATATCTGAGAGAGTTAGAGAATGGCTTACTGGGAGGCTGAGAGGCTTGTGTCCTGCACAGAAGCATTGTGGATTACAAATGAAATCCAACTTCTCTTTTGTTTATGTTCTTGTGCAAGGCCTGTCTTTGTCCCTGGCATATGAAATGTGTCCGGTATGCTGGGTGTGGACTGTGTAGATTCTGTGTTGCTGTTTAATTTATTGTATTCATGTTAAGGCTGTGTATTTGAGTTGATCTGAGAGAATCGCTGGGTCTGCTTATTTTAGTGTATTAAAAAAAAACCATTAAGAATGCCCAGAGAATTGGATGGCTGATCTTTTTAGTATGCTTCTAACTCAAATTAACTAATAAAATACATTATGTTAATTTTAATTTTAAAAATAACCAACTAATATTAGGTTTTGCTCTGTTTGTTTTACATATTTTGAGTCTGAGCATTATATGTCCAGAAAAGCTAAGTGTCTACTCGAGATATAGGGTTGAGAAACAGTACCGCAACTGTGAAGAGAGTAAGGTTATGTGTGTATCATATCTCTGAATGGAAGGTCTGTCTTCAAAAGTCAGTGGCCTACTCTGAAAGACTGTTCTGCCCTTGACTTCTTTGCTGATGCTGTTACTGAAGGTGGTAGTTGTGACGGTGTGTTTTGTGATTAGGCCTTACCACCTACAAAATTAAGTCAACCTAAATTTGATCAACATACAACCACGTAAGTAATTACAGCAGTTGTTCATGACCAAAATTGTGTGCATTCTCACTATGCATACTTCCCCTGAGTCAACTGTGTAGGGTATTGTGGAGCACTGACAATTGGGGCATCTCTGCCCTTGGACATCTGGCCTCTGATTGTGTAAGTGTATGTGTAGAGACTATATGTTAATGTGTCACTTAACCTAAGCATTATGCTTTTTGTGAAGGTGGAGTTATTAGGTTGGTATAATGGGCAATTTACATCAGTAGGAACAATATTGTGGTGTAGACATTTACATAATTAAATTGATGCAAGCTGTCTTACGTTAACCTAAGTATCTTGTAGACCAGGGGTGGGCAAATACCGGCCTGTGGACTGGATCTGGTCCACCAGGGTTAGCCCGTCAGGCCTCCATTGCTATATTTACCTGCGCTTCCGCAGGTATGGGTGATCACAGCTCCCACTGATTGCGGATTGCCGTTCCTGGCCAGTGCTAGCTGTGGAAGCAGTGTCCTGATCTATGCCACTTCCTGTCTCTCCCATTGGCCTGGAACAGTGATCTGCAGCCAGCAGGAGCTGTGATCACCAGTACCTGTGGTGGCAAAGGTAAGTATAGTGACGGGCCTCTGATGAACCATCACCATTTTATTGCCTATCCCAGTGTAGACCAAGCCTTAGACTACCAGCCTAATTTGTATCACATTTCTTTCAGACACAGATTTCATACATTTGTGATTTCCAGGCTTGGTTACTATTGTAATCAGTCAGACACGACCTCCCTCCCTTGTCTTCACTGGTGTCTAGCTGACCAGATGCACTCCTCTGCTTTTCCCTTCTTCCATGACTTTGGCTTTCTGAGTTATAATTTAAGATTTTTATCATGCCTTTGGTATGTTATCTGTAGTTTCTTGTACCCAAGGCCATGAGGCCCCATTTTCCTTAGGAACCATATTGCTTATGAATATGTATATACCCTGTGGAATGTGTGTGAGGTATGAATGAGAAATACCCAACTAAAAAGGCAGTTTAGGATCCATGACCTTTTAAGGCAGACAAAGACCCTGCAAGCAGATAAATTAACTGAGAAGTGGCCAGAAATCTCTCCCTCTCGGACAAAATGTAATATCACAGCAGAAACCTGGTACTGGCTCAGAGGAAGTAAAGCCTCCTGCAGATCCGAAGGGATCTCTAAGGAACATCATTGTCAATTCTCCAGGAAGCTGATGCCTGGCCAGCATTCCAGCCACCAGCGAAATCAAAAGTAATCTACACCACACTTGCAGTCTGCCTCCACACTGCAAGCATGAGTGTGATGTATGTGTGAGTATCACTTTACTCTTAAGAATCTGTGCCAGTAAGCAACCCCAAAAGCAATACTGCTTCAGCCCATCCTTTGTCCAGGTTTGTTCCTCAGAAGGTCTGAGGATGTGCAACAACTTTAATTCATATGTAGGTTTGAAAGATGGGCTTTGACTGAGAGAGTGATACCTAACAAAACATCATAGAATTACCTGGAGCTAATGGGAAGGAGGAAAGGGATTTATAATCATAGCTCCAGGTTTTTTGCACATGCAAAATAACACTAAATAAAATGAAAACCAATGTATATAAAGAATTAAAATATGGAAAAACTCACCCTGCCAGTGATAGCTCCTGTGGCTATTGTCCTGTGAGGCTTGGCCTAGATCCCTGCTTCAGGAGTTTGTGAACTCTACATACAAGACTGCAGTGCTGCTCAGCTTTAGCCTGGATACCTCCCATCCCCATAAAGAATTTCATGGAGGTAGATTTATAATCAGAAATTTAAAGTCAAAATGAATTAAAAATAAGTTCTCTAACAACAAATAAATATTACTTTTGCACTTAATCTGTTCCATCTGAGTATGTCTCAAACATTTTATAAACAGAATGAAATCATATTCTATCCCCATGAACTAGCTATTTATCTTGATTTTGTGCGAGGAAAATGAGGTATTTAGGAGGTGCTGTCAGGTGGAAACCATGCAAATTGGAGCTCCTTTCTTTTTAGAACTTTTGTAGGAAGCCCAAGCTGCTATTAAACCTCGTCTCTCAATCAGACAGCTGAGTTCAAGCACACACTTTCAAATCAGTTTTCAACTTATTCAGAATCAGTCGAATAAGCTCCCCAGATATTTTTAGAACTTACGTCTTGGTTTCCTGGGTGATGCTGTAATGTCACTACTCTGTTTCTAAGCACACAGTTAAAATTCCATCACAAATGTGTATAATAGCTTGAACTTATGGGGATTTATTTGGGCTGCTTTAGCAGTCTTTTCATATTTCTTGGAACTCTGTAATGTAACTTTGGATTTAAAGGTTTTCTTTAAGAATATTTATCTTAATATGCAGTGTAGTTATACAGGTCAGTTCCTAGGATATTAGAGAGACAAGATAAATGAGGTAATATCTTTTATTCGACCAGCTTCTGCTGGCGAGAGACATACTTTTTTGAGCTTACGCAGAGCTCTTCTTCAGGTCTGGAAAAGGTACTCCCAGCATCACAGCAAAATTGTTTATTTTAAGTAGTTAGCACATATTGTAAGGGACCGTTCAAGATAGAGGGGCTTATTAAAACCTCTGTAGTCACCGGACAAAAAGAAGCATTTAGGGAATTACAGAGTGTAGTAATAACCCATAAATCCCGGGTCTCTGTTCAGTCCATCATTTTTAGTGTCTATCAGACTAATGAATTTACATTCCCAGGCTTATCTTTTGAAAGTGGTGGGCAAGTTTCCTTTGAGGAAGAGGACAGATAGGTCAGATATAGAATGATCACTTTGTGAAAAGTGTTCACCTACAAGTGATGTTGCGTTTCTTATTTTTGTGTGTGAATTCATTCAAGAGCATAGCGATTAATAACTGGCTCGTGGGCTGGATGCAGTTTGCCAGGGTTAGCCACTGGTAGGCTACCAGATGGTTTGTTTACTTGAATATCTGCAGGCATGGCCACTTGCACTTTACAGTGGCCATGGTTTGCAATTCCTGGCCAGTGGGTGCTGTGGGGAGCAGCGGCTGGCCCGTGCTGCTTCCTGCAGCTCCCATTGACTGGGAATGGAAAAACTCCAAGCTGTGGGGCTCCATTCCTGTGGATACTGAGGGGAAACAAACTGTCTGGTGGCCTATCACTAGCTAACCTTGGCAAACTGCATCCTGCCCTCAGGCCAGTTATTGCCCATCTATGCATTAGACCCTGTCAGAACAACAGATTAAAAGCTTGGACCTCTATCTTCTCTGCGACAGTGACCAACAACCCCTGCAACACACCTTTCAAGATCCATGGGCTCTACACATGCCTATCACAACGTGGTGTATTTCATCCCATGCACTAACGGTCTTCCTAGGAGCTATGTAGGTGAAAATAATCACTATGCTCCCAAATTACGCAGGATAATAAGCCAAAAACATCACATCACTTGTGAATGAACACTTAGTCTGAGGGACCCTGGTCAGATGCTCTTTTTCTTTCTGCTGCATGCCCTGGGGATTTGAAGAAGAACCTGTCATTGCTGGTACTTTTCACAGAGTGATCACACAATATCTGAACTCAAAGTCCTCATCCTCAAAGGAAATCTGCACAACACACTCAAACAAGCCTGGGAGCTTAAATTGGTTACTTTGCTAGACAGTAAAAATCCTAGATTGAACAAAGATATTGCAATGATGGCTTACTAGAAGCTTTACCCAGCATTGCTCAGTCCTTAACTCAAATAAGTTTTGTTTTTCTTCATTTAAATCATTGTTCTGGGTGGAGCTGGGGATGAGGGGTTCAGTATGAAGGCTGCTCCTGGGAGAGAGGACAATTCTAGCCCTCTGTCACTGTAGCAGTTTGGGGCCAAATGAGCAGTGCCTGTCCATGCCTGCTGCATCTGGTACAATTGGGGGAGGCGTGCATGTCTCCCAGCTGGGGGACAGACAGATAGATACACAAACAGACACTCTCTGAAATAGCTGTCCCTTTCTCCACCCCGGCACTCTGTTGGCCCAGTGGAGTTATAGCTGTCCCAGTCCCCATCTCTGGGCCCTTGCTTGTCCCCCCATGGTAATTCTACATTATAATTCTCCCTCCTACCCCCCTTTTCATTTTATGAGAAATAGTTGCATTTCAGGCACATTCCATTATCCTGGCCCAACCAAACCCTTATCTTACTCAAAAAAGGTTGGGAACCACTGACTTAAAGCATACAGCTCCCTTTTCAGTCTATTAAAATTTCATAGACCTCCCCAAATGATCCATTTTTTCTAGCCCAACTAAACCCTTCTCGTCACTATTTAACTTTTGAACAGTTAGAGCAGGGTGATGTATTCAAAAAAGAGGAAAAAAATGGTGAAAAGTGACTGACGTATTTATAAGCTGACTCCAGAGTACAGTCGCAGCTTGTCAGCTTCAGCATGAGCTGAGGGACATGCAGACCGCAGGGCACAGAGCTTTTCAGGTCCCATTGGTTGCTGTTCACCCACACTACTTCCTCAGCTCCTGTCCCCTGCACATCCACAGAGCGAGCAGGCTTTCGTGGGGCCAAAGAGAGTTCGAGCTGCTAGCTCCTCAAGAGTGGAACTTCGGGAGGATAGGGAGTAAGGGGGAAACTTTGAGCGCAGAAAGGGAGAGCGGGGAGGCAGCTGTTGTGTGTGCCGGGATGTGGCTTGCTTTTGATCCTGTTACCTGCACGCTAAGAGAGTGAGGGGAAAGTACTTTCATCCTGTGCATACCTCACACACACTAGCCAGGTGAGAGAGGCATGCAGGCATTTTCCCCATGCTCCCTTAGCTTCCGAATAACGGGATTAAAAAAGCAAGCCGCGTCCTGGCGCATATGGCTGCTGCTCCCCGTCCCTCGCGCGCTCCAGGGTGGGGGAGAAGAAAAGGGAAAAAAACAGTAAGGATTGGGCCCACCATGCTGGGCCCAATCCTTACTTTTAAAACTTTCCATGGACCACAGGTTGGAAACGATTGCTCTCAGTTATAAGACAAAGCTGCAGATTTGGTGTTCCTAGCTACATAAGAACGTACGAATAGCCATACTGGGTCAGACCAAAGGTCCATCCAGCCCAGTATCCTGTCTGCTGACCATGGCCAATGCCAGGTGCCCCAGAGGAAGTGAACTGAACAGGTAATGATCAAGTGATCTCTCTCCTATCATTCATCACCATCCTCTGACAAACAGAGGCTAAGGACACCATTCCTTACCCATCCTGGCTAATAGCCATTAATGGACTTAACCTCTATACATTTATCTAGTTCTCTTTTAAACCTTGTTATAGTCCTAGCCTTCACAACCTCCTTGGGCAAGGAGTTCCACAGGTTGACTATGCCCTGTGTGAAGAAGAACTTCCTTTTATTTGTTTTAAACCTGCTGCCCATTAACTTCATTTGGTGGCCTCTGGTTCTTATTCTATGAGAACAAGTAAATAACTTTTCCTTATTCACTTTCTCCCCACCACTCATGATTTTATATACTTTTATCATATTCCCCCTTAGTCTCCTCTTTTCGAAGCTGAAAAGTCCAGCTCTTACTGTTTAGGAGGTGTTTTTGAACAAATTAACTTACAGATGAATGGATAGACACACACACACACATTTCTAAAATATATAGTAAGATTACAACAATCTGTAATCCACAAAACCCCTCTTTTTGTCCCATGACTGCAGACTTGTTAATGGATCACTTTACCTTACAGCATGTGCTAACTACTTATACTACACCATCTGTTCCACTTGCCTTGGTGTGTGATGCAGACAATTCCTTTTCCAGACCTGAAGAAGAGCTCTGTGCGTTTGAAAGTTTTTTTTCAGCAGCAGAAGTTGGTCCAGTAGAAGGCAGTACATTATCTACCTTGTTTATCTCAATAGGTATGTGGTGGTAGATTATGTATGAATGAGGTGTTAATTAATTTTTCTATATTTTATACCTTTAATATGTTTAGTCACAATTAGTGTCCACAAAGAACATTAAAAATAAAATACTCCTAATAACAAATTACTCCATAATTAGATTTGTAAGAAATAGAACATAATATTATGCTTTTCAGTAATTCTTTAAATATGCAAAGTCATTGTATAACCATGTAAAAATGTCCTTATTAAATAGCTGTCTTTGCGGGTTGACTTTTTTCTCCAGTTGTTTTTATCCTAGAGTCTATTAAAACATGCTAAGAATTCAGATAGAACATGATGAACACTTCATTATTTAGATCTCTGTAGGCAAACATTAGGATTTTTAATGCAGCCTCACTGTTTTTTCTTTTCTTAATACAGGAATCTGAAAAAAGTGGAAAATCAAGTAAAATAAACATAGGTAAGTAAACAATTTTTTCTTGGTGAAAGCTATAGTAGCCCATATTGAAATGTACATAGTCTCATGCTATGTCAGTGATTTTGTGTAATGCATATTTTCTCTTTCACATTACTAGTAAAGCAGCTATATGTAAAGTACAGTTATGCTTAGATCAATTGCCATGTAAAATAGCACCTTATTACTCAACAGTTAACTAACAATACTGCTTATTAGAGAATCTTTTATAATCAGCGATGATACATGAACTAGAAATAGGCTAGCTGGACATTTGCAGAGATCTTATTTAAAAACTGAGTACTTGTGATATGAAAGTAACTGAGATAATAAGCTTAGCACCCCAGAATGGTATTTTTATCAAGGTGCTTCTTAGAATGAAACTGTACTACAAGGACTTAATCATGAGACTACAAAGCACCTCTCTAAAGGTCTAATAGTAGATTTGTAAAAACTTAGAGACATGCATGTTAGGCACATGTAGAAACAGTGTAGGGTAAAGTAGAAGAACAGATACTTTTACTGGACATGCCATATGATGCAGATCATGGAGTTAATGCTCACTTACCTACTCAAAAGAATATTGAAAATGTACAGACCATCTTCAAATATAACTAAACTCTCTACCTGAAAAGTACATAAAACAATAAAAATAAACATCTTTCTGTAATGGAGAAACTTTTCCAAGTGAAAATAGTTAGACAGTTTCAACAGTTTTGATTGTGAACCAGTGTATTCTCATGGGGTGTGTCTACACAGCACCCTAAACTCGAAATAAGATACGTAATTTGCGCTACGCAAATTGTGTATCTTGATTTGATTGTATTTTCAAATAGCTTATTTTGAAATTTGGAGCGTCTAAACACCACCGAATTTCAAAATAATGTGCTATTTCGAGACATCCCTCAACACTTGTGGAACAACGGTTACAGTGATGCCGGAATAGCACACCCATTACTTCAAAAATATTTTGAAATAATGGGAACATTTAAAAAACACGGGATAGCTCCCGCTGTCTAGACGTACCCATAGAGATTGCCACAGTGGCCTGCATGCTATTGTAGAAGGAGCAAGAAAGGCTTAACCATGATGGTGAATCTGTAAGGGTGTTGAACCCATTGCTCACAAG